TGATATTAAGAAACAAATGTTGTTTTTCTGTTTAGTATTGAGGTAGAGCTTGCACTTTGGTACGATTCTTACAAGGTGTTGACCTGTGACTGTAGCCAAATATTAAAACATAAATAAAGTCACCCTCTGTCTCACTTGCAGGTAGTGGAAATATAAAAAGCTTGAAACTTAGAGAACATAGAGACTATGTGACCTGATTTTTAAAGGCATGTCATGGGCACAGAATTGATACAAAAACATTTGTTGAGCTACTGTTTTTATTGTTGTACACAGTATCTCAATATAAAACTGCAAGCCCTTTCCGTAGGTATCAGGTTTCTGAAAGCGTAATGTCCTAATGCAAAGTCCCAGCAGTTGTATAGGCAGGAAAAACAATATTAAGCTTCCTCAACATATTTTAGATTATCATAAACCCACATGGTATGAAATCCTGTTCTAGTTAATCCACAGCAATATTGCACTTGTCAAAACAATCCATGGTTCCAGGGACTCTTCAAAATCACAGGGACAGAAACAAAAGAACACTAAATATCAAATGATGAGGTCTGGTGATAGAGGCTGGCTGTTTGATGTTGGAGCTTGCTAGATTCCAGTCTATATCAGGAGAAGAAAATGCAATAGAGGATTTGCATAAATATCAATTCATATACAAAATAAAGCTATAAATCTAAGATCGTCTTTATAGTTCACGTTTTGTTTTCGTTATTAAAAATGTATACAATTATACAAACTATTTAATCACATTTCTCAGTCATGCCCATTTGGATGAATGGGTGATTTGTATGTGGTCCTGCAGTATACAGTGAGTTTGTTCTAAACAGCGTTGTAATTACATTGTTTTTCTGCCGGATTGTTGGCACCTTGGTCAAAGGCAAGCTCCTGTGTAGCTCCAGGACTCCCTCTCATGTAAATTAGGGCTCTTTCCTTGCCAAAGCAATCATGACATTGCACCGGTGCAATGCTAGGTCTGCAAATAAGCCATGTCAGAAGCACACACACAAGACACCAGATTTAACCCTCTTGAATTTCCTCTGTGAGCAAACTGCAGAGCCGGCATCTCGAGAATTTGGTTTGAAGTTGTAGAGTATTTTACTTTTGTTGTCAAATTGCTTTGCAAATGAGGCCCACCCTGGCATAGTTTCAAAGAGCTTGTGCTATATGTGCAGCTTCCTTCAGGCTCTAGTTTCTGAACCTTCATCATTTTGTATGCATATGCACAGTACTGCACTAAGCTCACATGGAAGACTAGATAAACATGCCAAGCCGAGACGAAGATGGAAGGCAGTATACTTATGTCTTGTCTGCCTGTCTCCATGTTGTTTATGTGTTCTTCAACTTGACTGACATGGTCTATCAGAAACATGGCAGGTAAACAGTATGAAAGCCTTCTAGGTTTTTACCCATTAAAACGATATTCAATCATTTTTTGATGGCCTTTTTTTTGTGCCTGAAACCACGCCTCATTATGATGCAAGGTTCCAATGTCATTCACATTGAAAGGTTGTGTTGCTTGAAGCCCCATCAAAATAATTGTTTTGATATGCCCCATTTTTTTTCTTGGCAATGACACTAATAGGGGGTGATCGTACATTGAGGATAAAGAACATTTTTTGAGGTATGTTGACTAAATTTGAGCTGGCTCACAGTTATAGGGTTTTAGTCTGGGCATCATGGAAAAGGCATTGCTTTGCGATACAAGTACTGCATGTCCCTTTGATTGCATGTCCAAGTCTCCCTCTAAATAATAATAATGCAGGGATTGAAACACTGCATAATAGCCCGAGGCTCAGAAATTGCTAATGAACAGCAGCGGGGTGCAGTTGGGGGTGCGGAGGGGATCTGAAACCTTACTTCCTGTTTCAAAGGCAAATAATCTGTGGTCGCCTCTCCCTACCTAACACAACTGTGTCATTGCCTCAAAAAGGAGTTGGAAATGTAAAATACATACGTTCTATATGGGAAAAAGCTATAAAGGACACCACAGTGGCTAAAATAAAAATGCATTTAACGCTTACCCATCTTACAGTACATGTTATAAACGTGTTAATACGCTTGTTACATTCTCTTTTCTGACTGTCTGTCAGGTGGTTTTCTCACAGTGCACGGAACCATCAAGCCAAGGGAAATCCATGGAGAGGGAAAGGAGACAGAAGGCAAGAAAAAGAGAATATATTTGGTGCTGTGCTGCAGATCAAAAACATGGCAGTCACATGATCAAAGGCATTTGATAATCCTTGAACTACATTGCTCCTTTAATCCTAGTGCGAGGACTATATTTTATTGGATGGGGGGGTTAATTTTGGGGTGGCAAACAGAGCTAGAAAAAGCAGTTACTAGCTGCTGGAAACACAGTTTACTAAATGTAGCATGCCACTTTTGAGGTATCCGGGGAAAGACGACAGTATAGAGCCCCCTTGTGTGTGTGGAGAATGGAGGCTGAGCTGATGGGGCTGGAAACACAAATGTGCCACAAGTCCCTGTCCACTCAGCACTGAATAGTGCTCTTGTTATTTCATGGGGCTTGTAAGGGAAGTTGGCTTGTTGAATGTGACTAGACTACTACATCTGGCAAATAGAAACAGAAAGGAAGTTACAAGGTTTGGGCAAAATGTATTTTACGCAATATGTAATCTTGGTTGTTTCTGCATTGTACTGAAGGTTCACCTCAATATGTTTTATTCAGCACATACTGTAATTAAGACAATTTGCAGGTTATAACAGTTTTCAAGTGAGAGTAATAATTATGCTTAAGGAAGAACATCCTAAGGAACAGCAGGATGGATCCTTGCCAAACTAGCATGTCTCCAAGAAATCAGACAAAAACACATCATGTTTCAGTTTTCTTTCCGTTTCCTCAGAAAATACATGTTGTTGTATATCCTAGCATTCTGTTCTTTGTGCCTCATCAAATTACAATAACCACCCCAAGCACTCTGACCAGACAAAAACATCAATACATGGTGTAATCCAAGTCCCTCTGTTGCGAGCCTTGTCAATAGTGTTTCCCTATCAGATGCAAAATGTTCCAGACCAAAATGGGTTGAAAAATGGCTGCAGTTTTTTCTTTTCTTTTTAAAATGTATCTTCCTATGACATGATCACCATCCCATTTGTGTATTCTGTATACATATGAGTTATTGCTCACAAACTGCATGCTTTCTATAATGGTGAGCAATTCATTATTAACAACTACCTTTACACATCTGTGTCACACTGGAGCTTTGTGACACAACAACATGAAAAGTGATGTTTTGCTCTATTCAAAATATAAAATGAGATTGCACTGGGCAGAAAGAAATCAGAAAAAAATAAAACAACAGTGATTATAGCCATGGGAGATCTTGCTATTTGTTTGTGTTTGAATCCAGGAAAGGCTTAGAGATTTAGATTCTCGATGGCTGGTATCAAGCTTAAACAGGCTGCCTTATGCATTAAAGCACTGAATCCAAGGAAGTTTGTACAAAATATTTGTGTCCGTAAATATTGCTTCTATCACATCATTTGTGTATTACAATGATTGATGGACATGGCATAGAAACCCTGTTGTTCACTTGCAGTTTTAAACAGACTTCTCTAAATGTTCTGCTCAGGGAATTTACTGTAGCATATTTGGGATCGGATTTGTGTATACTAATTACACAGAAGATGTTGACCTTTTGCTTTTGAATAGCACATCAAACTATCCTAGAGTGACTGGGAGTTATTCAATTAATTGGAAATGTTTGTGTAATGTTTTTCTGATGATTAACCATCAGTGGTGGTACAGGGCAGAATAATGTGCATATTTCAAAAGTTCAGGTTCATTTCATAATTAATTGGACTATCCCCATTCATCCACAATATACAATATATAACTCAAAATTGCATAAAACCAAGGGCATTCTGTTTTCACCACTGGAGATCTTACCATCTACTTGCATGCACCACACTCAAAACTAATTCCTTTTTTCTTGGTCTTGTCCTCAAAGAAAATAATTTGTGTTTATTTGTCACATCAATTAAGATATCATCGTTGTATAGACTTCTCAATCTGTAGGGAAGCATTTGTCAACTAATTCCATCATCCCAGCAAGGCCCATTTATCATGCATATTTAATGATACAGTGTTTATGCTGCAGAAAGCCGGGCTGCTTTTTGTTCTACTTTTAGAGGCCAGTGAGTGAGGTGTTCTGCTTCTAAGTTGCAATGAAATATTGATGTTAAGAGTCTGGAGAGTTCAGTGTCTTATCTGTCCTGGTGATACCATAAGGCAGGCATTAATAGTGTCAGGGAGCATCAGACGTACCACATGCACATAATTGAAAAAAGCACCTGCTTAAAAACCAACAGGGCCTTCCCAAGAGGAGTTTGCAGAGCCCATCCACACCCCTGCTGGGTTTGCCTCACCCATTGCTCTTTTGTTTCTCTCTGGGGTCAGCCGAAGATGGCTTCTGCTTCCCTTTTTTTCGATGGCATTGTGAGAATGCAAATACTTTGGATCTTTGCATAATCACAAGCAGCAGGACCATCTGTTGTTGGCTTGTTGACTTACCTTGCGTCTGCTTTTAATGGTGTTTTCTTGTATCTGAGTGATGTATTGGTGTATTAACAATGTGATAATCATTTAACCTAAAAAATGCATTCGGGCGTGTGTGCAGAAGTCTGAACATATGTTCACTAAAATCTTCTGACAGAAAAGGATTTATAATCTTTGTAAACGGATAGAAAGCAGGGAAAGTGGAAAACAAAACAAAAACATCACTATACCCACGCAGTGGGCATATGATAAGATGATATTGTCAAGATAAAGATTTAAAATATGACTTTCAACCAAAGCTGTGGTCTTAGATTAGTGGGCGGCAGACGAGCTTGTTGATTGAGAGTTGCTTAACCCCTCTAAAATATATTGCAAAATGCTAACGGCAAGGACTGGGAAATAAGCTGCAACTTCTGTCACTAAAGATTTACTGGGAGATGCCCTCCTCTGAAAACATGTCCCTGATAATGTGTTTTTCTTGTAGAACCTGAGCCAGACACCGGAGACGTCTTTTAACTCGCCGCTCCCCATTTGTCCTCATAAGGTAAGCTCCAGCTTTCTTTCAGGCAGGGGACAAACAACATTATGTAAAATCATTGAATATATTTTAATAATTACATTTTATTAGTAGGTTATTTTTACGTGTGCCCATTTACATCTGACATGTGTCATTCGCTTTAAACCATGTCAATGCCCTTGTCACATATGTGATGTTCTATCACCATATGTCTTTCTCAAGACTCTCGCCAAGGATATGCAAATTCATTTCTTCTAAAAAGAGAGTTTTTCATGTAAAAAACAGGAATATCTCTACGTTCCTGCTAGGCTTTATCTCTGCATTTCATTATGATTCAACGTTCATCTAACATGCGGCGAGAAGGGCAGATTTATTCAATGCTAATTAGCCCTGTACATGCACAGTCAAAGTCATCACTTCACTCTGATGGTCTCGAGTCACGCATATACTGACTGAAGTAACTTTCCCCTTCACTTCCTGCTCCTGCTGCATGCCTCTTGCAAATGTGATAATGTGCTATGTAGTGAAATTCACACAATTTCAGTTCACTTAGCACCAAATGTGTCAAAAATGCCCGTGTCCTTTTCTGGATGAATGGCCGGTATGGTGAGAGTGGCTTGTTGCAAGAGTGGACCTTGGTAAAAGGAGTCCAAAAGAGGGAAGCTGTCTGACAGCCTGTCATCAACTGTTCAAAGCATAACACTCCATAAATCGCTAATGCACGGCTATCTGTCTAAAAAGATGTTGGTGCCATTGAAAGTGCAGACGGTGGTATGACAATCAATAATAATACATGTCAGATCACTCTAATGGTGTGTCTATTCCTTTATTACGGGCTGCCACGTTTCCCTCTCATTCCTTCTTCTCCTGACTTGCTCTCTTTACATTTTCACACAGCTGATCAGGGCTGATGTAATGGGGTAACACCGTGGGTTTGCAGATCCTGTTATTCACGTTTTAGCTGTTAGCAGCGGAACGTAATCTCCCTCTAGTCAGCTCACATTAGTCTCCATGATCCGTACCAACCCAATATGTGCCGCGAATGCAATGGGCCAGCTGGGCTAATTTAGTATGTCAGTCAGCTCAGGAGGCTGGTAAAACGAGTAAATGGCTGATATGATTAATATGAAAAGAATATTCTGATTATAACGGCTCTCAGAATAGAATATCCTCTTTTTACACTTCTCTTCATCTGCATTGTGTGCAACCCCCAGATAGATAGTGAAATGAACACAGGGCTTTTAAACTGACTGCTCTGTGATTATATTAAGAGTGTGAGAGCGAGCGAAGACAGGGGAGGGAGGAGATCGGGTGCCCGAGCACTAAGTATATATAATTGCTTCTTGACACATTGGCCAAATTCTGCAGTGCCAGGATCTGAGCGAAGATGATTAACGGCTGTCCGAGTGGGTGGGCATTGCAGGTCGTTCAGGGCCTTTGGTTTCCATAGCGATCGTCTAAAGGCCATATATTGCATACTGAAAATCTCGGGGGTCCACACATTGTTAAACTACAATTATAACTCACAGAGAGAGCATTGTCGGTCCACCGCAAACTTTCAACCGCCAACAGCTTGCTGCTTTTTCACTCTCTCTCTTTTCCTTTATTTCCTCCTCTATTTTTCTTAAATGGTCTCCTCTAGCTGGCGAGAAGATAAAGAGTGAAAATCTTGCATTCTGTGAATAATTGATGAGTGGGCTCACCTCAGAGCATCATTACAGTACGGCAGTCAGGGTAAGAGGTGAGGGTAAGATCATATTTCTGACACAAGGCTTCGGGCGGTAGAAAATTGTGTCAGTTTTTCACAAGGTTTTCTTGTGAATCTACAGCATGAATTATAGTTTCTCATTATAGCACAACAGGATAGGAATGAATTGTTTAAAAGAGATGTGAGGGTTCATACATGTTCCCGTGCATAAACTGCAGAATGCCATTTGTAGCAAAGGGGTAAACAGAAAGGCAATATCTCTATTAACCGCATGTTTCTTTCTGTTACTGACAACATTTTATATTACAAATATGAAATCAAGTTCTTTGATATTGTAGGTGTTCTGGCCTACATTATAGTGTTTGTGTCTGTACAGTACATGCATAACTTGTGTGCATGCATGCATAAATACATGTTGTGTGTCTATGTGAACAGTGCATTCTAGTTAGGTGACAGATGGAGAGGGCAAGGCTGGGGGTGGGGATCAAGCACCTCTGACAGTATGGGGCCTTCACTGCACCCTGTTCCTGCCAGCTTTGAAATGGCTAAGGTAAACTAAAGCCGTGCAACAACAGGAGGCCATTTCACAGTTTTACTTTCCGCACAAGATGAGAGCCTCCCGGTGCAATTTCACCCAACAATGTAGAAGCTGAGTGTTGAACATGCAAGACAGACATGCTGCTCCTTGAATCAAACTTTATTCTGTGAGATTCGAGATGCAAATGTAAACATGCTGATTGCCACAGATAAGAGATACTGTGTGTAGTAGCATTTTTAAGTCAAGGAAAGGCCACTGGATAAGCACATCTTAAGGCGAGACACGGCAGGCAACAACATCGTTTTTCAAGTACTGGTCAATTTTGAGATTTTGTGCTACTTTGATTCCATAACATGTTGTCTTTCAGGCTTTTGGAAGGAAAACGTACAAAATACACATTTAAGTGTTTATTTTACTATAGTTTGTCTATTTGCGTCTGTAGATTTCTCCTAAATTCACCAAAAGTTAGCATTCTAACGTAACATAAAGTACCGCGACCGCTGTGTGCACCATGTCAACAGAGGTATTGCTGGAAAGCTGTGTCTCTCCTGCACAAACTCATCGGATCCAAATATGGTCATTTCCTTTTTATCAGCAACCAATCGTGAAAGCACAAAGGGGTCTTAAACCAAGAAACGAAATCTCATTGGCTGGTGTCAATTTTTGACAACGTGATTCGTTCAGATGCGTCACGTGGTGTGCTAAAACACTTCCTGGTTAGCTTTCAGCTAGAAATTGAAATCTCAAAATGCCAAAAGAACGGCGAAAAAAACGTTCACAGAGAAGACGACAACAATTGTCACTTGCACGAAGCAAGGTTATACAAAACACAAATGACCCCGAACATGAAATACCTTCACGGAGTGTGTCGATGCGCAAGCTATCATCCAAAGAACAGGAGGGTTTAGCTAACGCCTCACTGCAATCTTTAAAGGTCGTTTTCTCAAAATGAGTTTTTGCTCCTACTCTGAGTTCGAAATGTCAACTACTTAGCACGTACATACACCAAACCTTCCAGTTATATTCCTATCAATATTATGAAGGCTTTTACAGAAGGGTTTGTCCATATATAATTCATAGCCTGAATTATATAACATTGTATACCTAAAAACATGGCGAAAATTGATATTTTAGGGCTGTTGACAGTATTTTCTGATTTATGGAGTGATAAAAAGAGATATCCAATATCCCTTCTGTAAAAGCCTTAGATACTAATATGACTACAAAATGAAACAATAATTTTGAATCTGGCTATATCCAAAGTTCAGATTTCGATTCCTGAAATGTGTTAAAATATGTGCATATTTAATGAGATAATGGCTAATTTGCATATTTAAACATGCTATTTCAGAAAACGTGTAATACAAAAGACAATTGCCTTATTGTAAGTAATTAACTGGAGACATTTCTAGCTGATACCTTTAAGTTAAAAAAATTACCCTATTCACCTGGGGTGTCTCGCCTGATGATTCATTCTGTATAATACAATAAGATCCCTCATAGGCATCCAAACAAGAGTCATGCAGCAATTAAGCTATGGCATCAAGCAGACCAGGGGTGGTTAGTGAGGCATCTTCCTAAACACATATGTCAACATGCAATGCCTTGCAAGTGCAGGCACACAGACACACACACATTCACTCACTCAACTCGTCTCAGACGCACACTCACAATACATATGAGGTAAATGTGATCTCAGAAGACAAGCAGTAACAACCCACGGCCCCATCAGGGTGCCTGGGGTTGCATTGGTGGCCATCGTCGAACAAATAATTCTTTGTGACTGAAAAAAAGACAATCCAAAAGGTCATTTGTGACCTCTGGGACCAGTGCTGTGCAGCATCTGTCACTAGTAAGCACAACATGTCTGTGTCAAATGGCAAAAGGTATGCGGTGCAGCCAGCCTGCTGTGTAATAAAGGAGGTAGGCCAATATGTTTGTTGCATCACTGTCACAGTTGCATTAACAGTCTCCTGGCTTATCTGCAGAACATCCAACATGCCATTTGGGTACATGATTGGTTGGATAACTCGTAGAGCTGGTCACAGCATGGCTTACATTGTGCAAGCTTTAGATACTTGCATGGTTCATAAGGCCCCACGTTGAACACTGTAATATATGATTGAATTCACATCAATATTTGGAATTTGACTGAAAACTCCGCAAAGGTTATGTCATCTTGTCATGTCAAGAGAATGTTTGACTGCTTCAAATGTACTTTTTAAATTAAATATTTAAACCAATTCAAATATATGCCTTACATAAAGCAGATAACATTTAATATACAATAAGTATTAAGGATGTCATTTATGTCTGTCTGCTGTGAGGTTGAGGTAATCCCAAAGGGAACCACAAACAATGACTAGCCTCCATGTTTGATGTTATCCCTCTTCTGTCACACAATTTTCACAACAAGGGATAATAGCATAAAAAATCCTTCTCAGTCGGCTCGCCATGCTCATATATCTGCATCAGACCACACCTCCATGTGGAACAAATCAATAATATTCCATTTCGAACCAAATTCCTTTTTTTGAATGGTGAAATCCAATCTTCATGGACACACTAACAAATTGGATATCCAGAAACACAGAGATGGCATGGATGGTTCTGTACAAAACTCTAGCATACATACAAATTCCCACAAATGCTGAATTATCTTAACGTGCAGGTATCATTAGCCTATCATAGAGATAGAGAGAGAGAGAGAGAGAGAAGATAGAAAGGAGATCGGAGATATAGAGAGATAGAGTCAGATATATAGCTTCTAGATCAGAGATC